GGGTGTTTGTATGTAGGTCTTTGGTTGTTCGGGTTTTCTCCCGCGTAAAATTTGCTGCTCGAAGCACGAAGCTGAAAACACCAGCCTGAAGATGACGAATGGGACTTCGTCGAAACGTCGCCAAGACACTTCCAATTTTACGCGGGAGAAAACCCGAACAACCAAAGACCTATATATATATATATATATATATATATATATATATATATATATGTTTTCTGAGGTTTTCGCGGGTATTTGTATATAGGTCTTTGGTTGTTCGGTTTTCTCCCGCGTAAAATTGGAAGTGTCTTGGCGACGTTTCGACGAAGTCTCATTCGTCATCTTCAGGCTGGTGCTTTCGGCTTCGTGCTTCTAGGAGCCAAGACACTTCCAATTTTACGCGGGAGAAAACCCGAACAACCAAAGACATATATATATATATATATATATATATATATATATATATATATATATATATATACATACATACACACACACACACACACACACACACACACACAATAAAATGTGAAAATCAGGTACATTGCCATAATATTTGACTTACTTTATAATTCCATAGAGGATAAGCATTTTTTTATATATTAGAAAGTTTGGGGTTTAGTTTGGTTTGGTTTTTATTATATACCATCAAATCACATTCAATTCTTACTGATACACAGATAGATGTACTCCAGGATGAACTACAATTTTAAAATTTCCAAAATCCACTTAGGCTTTTTTGTTTTTTAAAGGGATAGAATTTCTGGTATTTTGGAACGACTGGTATATCAAATCATTTGGAGAAAATATTGTTAGCATGACTGCTGTAGGAATATGGTTAAAAATAGTTTCTTGTTGTGAAGATATCATCGCTGACAAAAGTTGGGAGCACCTTCCTCTCTACCTCTCTGGGTTTTATTTCATATACAAGGAAGAAATACAAGAAGAATGAGAAAGAAAGAAAAGAATCCACAGGGTGATAATACTGTTTTTCAGTACAGGCTCTTCATCTCTCTCTCCCCCTCCCTCCCTCATCTACCTCAAATTATTGGAGAAAATAACTGTGCAGCCAGAAGAACGTAAATGTTTTCCTGCCACCAACATTAGCTAGTAGGGTGAGAATACACTGCTATCCAGTAATTCTGAAGCTCAAGGATCTTTAGTGGGAGTAACAGAAAGCACTCATGCTCAATTCTATTCCTACCTCATAAGAGGTAGCTGGTGAAATCTTTTAAGACAAAGATGATTATACATTGGCTAGGATGGCCCTCAGGTACCTTAAAGCAGTGGCTAATCATGAGTCATAAGGAAAAAGTCTGTGACAAGAAAATAGATAAATTGAAGGATACGTCATGTAATAGATATCAGATAGGGAAAAGGTATTGTGTACAAATTTATAAAAACACTGGAAATGATAAACCAGCAAATAACAGATAGTCAAGAAAATGAGCAGTTATGAAACTTGAATTGCATACCAAAGGCAGAATCTCCAATTTCACTGAAATCAGAAATATTTTGACCAATCCATCAAGGAAGAGATTACAGGGAACCAGTCAACACCTGATAAAGAGTCTAGGGAGATTCTTAGTCATGGTTGTCTCAAGGGTGCTTTTTCAAGAGGCAAATGGACTTTCTTGTTTTTCTTTGAAGACATTTCACTTCTCATCCAAGAAGCCTTTTCAGCTCTGACTGGATGGTGGGGAATGGAACGATTTGTATTCCTTGCAGACAGCTGGTCATTTGCATTCTTTTAGAGAGTTGTTGAGGCTATTTGGAGGTTTATCTGTGTCCTCAAGATCACCTGAGTTGTGCAAATGGGTGTGCAGCCTTCTTGGAACTGCTGAAAGAACTGTTTTGTAGACTGGAGATAGATGATGTCGTATCCTTCCCCCTCTATTGAGGGAGAGCTGTTCAGTTTTGACATAGATGGCTTCTTTGACCCCTCTTTCAAACCAGCAGTCCTCTCTATCCAAAATATGGACTTTGCTGTCTACAAAAGAGTCTTTTCCTTTTAAATGCAGATGGACTGCTGAATTTGTCCTGATGGCTTTATTTTCCTATGCCATGTATTTATAAAGCGGTTGTTTTGTTTCCCCAATTTACAGATCTGCACATGTCTCACTGCATTGTACTGCATATACCATGTTGCTTAGTTTTTGTCTGGGTTTTTTATCCTTGGAGTAGACAAGCTTCTGCCTTAGTGTATTCTTGGATTTAAAGTGTGCACATATGTTGTGTTGGCTGAAGATCAAAGAAAATCAAGCACGCTGAAATCACAGAAAAGGTTAGTAGTGGATACATAGAAAAATGAATTCTTAAAAGTCCAAACTCAGTGGTAGAAATACCATCAATTTGATTAACATCTGGGCAACTACAGTCATTAGATATGCAGCTGAAAAGTGGATTGGACTCAAGCAGAAATAAAAGCCCTGGATAGGAAGAACAGAAGAATAATCACAGAGAATCATTGAACTTCATCCACGCAGCCAAAGGCTATAGATGGGCATGGAATTTTGCAAGAACATCAAACAGTGAAGAAGAGACACTAAAGCTACTATGCCATGAAACTTAACTGAATACTAAAGAGACTACACTGGCTTATAAGAAAGACCAAATGAAGAACAAAAGAGAGACATAGCAAGGCGAAGTATTACATGGCAAGTAACTGAAAAAAACTAGCAGGCCATGCAGATAACTACAAGACCTGACAATGGCTAATAGCAGGAAAGCAAGAAAAAGACAATGCTGTATGCATTAAAAGAGCTTTACAAACAAATGCATGCTGGCTTTGTGAAGACAGCGACAGAAATGCCTTCACTTCAAAGAAGCTGAAGAAACACCTAGTTGGACCACCTTATTAGCTGCTGCAAGAGATTGACTACAAACAATGGCATGACAAAATAGCAACAATGGTGCATTGGAACAGCTGCAAGAAATACTATTTGCCTGCAAACAAGAACTGATGGGACCCATAAAACAGAGAAAGTAATGACTTTCTCGTTGTGACTTTAAAATTCAAACAGACAAGCATCTCTTCAAACACTCCAGACTTAATAATTGTTGATAAGACAAAAAAGTCTGGATAATGGACATGGTGGTACCTGGAGATAACAGAATAGAAGAGAAAGAACTGGAGAAAAATCACAAAATATAAAGATCTGTAAATAGAAGTAGAATGATTATAGCAAAAAAAAAGCAAAGATAGTACCAATAGTAAAAAGCACCTTGATTATAATTCAGCAACATCTAGAACACCACTCAAACACCATTGGCATTGACAAAATCACCATCAGTTAATTGCAAAGGGCAGCCTTAATTGGAATACTTTATATCCTGTTGTGGTACCTTCAATATGATTAAACAACAATATCTTCTTAACCCAGGTCCTTGGGAAGGACTTGATAGATGGATAAAAATATCAAAGCCAGTCTAAACATTTGGCTGACTGTATGACCAACCAAAGTAATCCATATACCTAGGTATCATCATTATTTATTTTGATCATTGACCAACAAAATTCTGTTCAATACTAATATTAATTCCTTGCTATGACATGATGCATCACTGAGTAATTAAAATTCATCATTTTAATAATAGGCAAAATTAATGTGAATCACAAATACAAGGATCAAAACATCAAACCAGAAGTTTCACAAGATTGCTTTTTGAACTGTAATGTATACATTTAGAGATGGAATTATTATATGATGGAAGTTTCCAGCATAAAAAACGTTTTAGATGATTTTGGTGGAGGGGTGGAAGGGTTAGTGACCACCCAAACCTTAAGAGTATTGATGGAATAGTAACTATGCCTGTGTTCAATATTCCATATTCATTTCACAATCTGGTTTATAATCCTCTCATATTATATTTTAGTATTGTAAAATCATCCTTCTGATTTTTAAAAATTGTATTACAATCATTTTGAAGCAATTTTATAGAAACTTTGCACATTGAGTGGCCACAATATGAATTTTATTATGGAATAGTAGCAGAAGCTAAACAAAATGTATAGGATTAAATTCCTTATTTGAATTCTTGCTTTAGGAAGAAGCAAATGAATACTCTTTCTGGTATTTTGCATTAATAATTTGACTGGTTATACAGTCTGAATCAGAAGTGCCTTTTGAGGTTTATAAATCTTTAACCAAAGAATGGCCTGTGTGTAAAATTGCTCTAATCTCACGATATAGACAGACAAGGGGATAATGTTTCAAATGAAATGACTGTTAAGTTTCATGAATGTTTTAGTACTGGGGAAAAGTCCTGTATGAAATATCATTGAATTTAAACAGAATAAAGTGCTTTGTTCTCTTTGATGACTGACAATAGTAGAAACTTTATTAAGTATCATAAGCTTTTTCAAGGAGAAAACCTAATTAAATAAACAACATTTCTTACTACCATATTAAATAGCCTCTGTTTTTAATTATTCATTGTTAATTTTACTTCTATGTACTGGGTTACTGACCTAAAATGCCTCTCAAGATTGAGAAGCAGATTCAGTTTTCATTACAAGATTAGTAGGTACGTAAAGAGTTATTATCATTTAATAACTTGATGAATGACAAATATAAACTAGTCAACAATAGTTTCCTATAACAAAGTTGTCACCTTTGCAAGAATTACATACATGATAATTTAAACCCCACCTAAGCATATTTATTGCAGTTTCATCCTCATGGCATTATCCCAGATAAACAAGCATACTTATTTCTTTTCTTTTTTCTTTCTTTTCTTTGGGTAAAAATGCCTATTAATCTCTGTATAGTTACAAACAAAGCTGATGCAAATTCAGAATGTGATTACTTACTGATATAGCATCAGTCTGTACATTCATCATATATTGTATGCACAGTTGGGGATTTTTACAAGGTTTGATTTTATCCAGTGAATTTTCAGTTTCCTTACGATTATATAAATAATCTGTTAGGATTATGTCTTGAATATTCAATGTGTGTATCTTTTATATAAATGATAATCTGTAAAAAGTAAAAATATGTTGTTTTTATTGCCAGATAGTCTACATGGGCTGGACAGAGGAACGGGAACAAGATTCTCTTCAAGACCGAGTGTACACGCCAAAGTTTCTTGCACTGAGGGGTTCTTCACTTTATAAGTTTTTAGCACCTCCAGTAAGTATCATTCTGTATCCTGCTTCATAATTAAATGTACAGATGAAGAGGTTACATTGATTTGGAGGTTTTATGTTAATTCAGGGTTTCTCATTCAATATAGTATCAGAAAAATATATAAAAGGATGACAGAGAAAAGGTAATAATGGTGAAAAATCAATAATGGTAGAAATAATAAGAAATAATTTATAAATACAACTTTAATGGAAAACTGATCTGAAAATAAATCCTGTTCATTTAATTTATATTCATATATTAAATAAAATCTTCCTCCTTTTGCAGTTCTTCCATTTTCATCAGGAGCATCTTAAAAAGAGCTCCCTTTCTATGTACCAATTTCCAAGAATGGTACTCTCAAAGCCAGAAATAATTCATACTAGATAGCTAAAAAAATCATCACTGTTTTTTCTATAAATCATAGCATGCCTTCTTGCCATCTCATTGCTTATGCAGGTATAAGTGAGTTAGTGCTTTTCAAAATTGTATGGAAAAATAAGTGTAATTAGTTTTTGTGTATATTTTTACTCAAGGTCACAACATGGGACTGGACCCGAGCTGAAAGAACATTTTCTGTATATGAGATCATGTACAAAATATTCAAGGTACGAAGACTAAAAATAAATTTCATTTAAATAGTAAAAAGAAGAGTAGTATAGATATAAAAAAGCATAGCTGAATTTCCACAGAGGGAAGCACTAGGTAGAAATTAGGATTGCATATTGCAACATGCAACCGTAATTTCTTTAAGGTCATGGCAAAATAGCCTTAGTTCAAAGAGAAGGAGGGCCCTAAAACTATTTTGAGCACTCTGCCATTGTAATGGTATATGGGAATGACTTTGGGAGACCAGAGGAAGAATCAGAGACCAGACAATCATCATGCAAGAGCTATTCCAGCCCACAAAAGCAAGGGGACCTGGGAAGCATTTCAGAAGTGACCCTTCCTGGCTTTCTGGAGAGTAAAAAGTAGGGGAGAAATATTTCCAGACTTGCAAGATTCTATTAATGTAACCTTACAATAAAGAGGACAGGAAGACCTGGAGGAATGTTGTCCATGGGGTCGCGATGGGTCGGACACGACTTCGCAATTAACAACAACAACACAATAAAGACAGAGCTAGTATTCATAGTTGTGCTTCTTGTCTAGACTGCCTTGAAGGGCTAACAGCAATGAGGAATAATGAGGAATCAAAGCAAGTCTTTTACTCCTTTGTTTTTATCCTAAGGTTACAAAAGTCAGATAGAGCTCATTTCTACATACCATCCAATCCTTTTGCTTCTCAAGGCTATCAACATGGCAGTTTTTTAAGTATATGGTCAGAAATGGCTTTTCATATTAATAATACAAAAGGACCATACAGGTAGTCCTTGACCACAATTAAGCCAAAAAATTCCATTGCTAAGCAAGACAATTAAGTGAGTTTTATCCCATTCCATGGCCTTTCCTGTCACAGTTGTTAAGTAAAGCGCTGCAGTTAGTAGGACAGTTTTTAAGTGAATCTGGCTTCCCCATTCACTTTGCTTGTCAGAAGTTCACAAAAGATGATCACACGATCCAGGGACACTGCAACTATCATAAATAAATGCCAGTTGCCAAGTGCCCAAATTTTGATTATGTGACCGGGGGGGGGTGTTCTGCAATGGTTGTAAGTGTGAAAAGGGGTCATAAGTCGCTTTTTCTGTGCCATTGTAACTTTGAATAGTTCAGCTAAGTGAATGTAAGTTGAGGACTACTTATAATGTTAGTCAAAGAAGTTTTAATAGTATCAACTGAGAAGCTCAACTATTCTTATTTGATAGATGTGTATTTTCTTTTGCCATCTGTGCTTTTGCATTTTGTAGAAACATACTAAACCAGAATTTAACTACATTGTTAAATATACAGACTTAAAACAAGCAAATAAATAGTAGTAAAGTATTTGAAGGTATTATTCTATTAGCCAGTGTCTATGTATACGTATGCAAGAGTACTTCCATATACACTATTTCAGGAATTGTTTATGCTGAAGTATAACTGTGCTTCACAATATATTATCTCTGGAATTTTATACGCAGAAACTGCTGTTTGGCTAATGTCTTTTACTAAAAGCTGAATTTAGAATAATATTTTGCTAAATGCCACTTCATGATAACTTGTGCTAGAAAAATAAATTCATATTTATCAAAAAGTTATGATATCTTTACAGGAAGTGCTAGATATCTTTGCAAGTAATTGGATCCTGGTAATTGGTCATTGAGCTCTGAAGTTACTTTTCATCAACACATTTCTTTAACCTTAATTTAATATTCTTTCCAATCTTATAAATAGTATCTAGTCAGTGTCATTTAAGCATGAGATATGATCCTGAGTATACTGTGTGCATTAGAATATTTTCCACATAAAAAGTTGCATGAAGGCTATAATTAGTACCAATCCAGTCCCTTTGAATTATGTCAATTTATTGGAGGAGACATAAGCACCCTTATATCCTAAATCTGCTCCTTTGTTTCTTCTTTTGGCTTTCTTTCTAGCATACTTTCCAACCATAGTCTTTTCCTTTTCAAGTCCTTTCTTTTTTTGACAATCTGTCTTTCCCTCCCTAATGATGCCTCTTGGCAATAGCCATTTGAGCCATAGTCAACTATACTGATGGCATTATTTTTCTGCTTAACTGAACATTGTAATTGCCGTCAAGGCAAATTTTATATTGGTGGATTGAGAAAATATACCAATTCTGTTTTGGAGTTTGCATGTAACTACCAATATAGAAAAATAGAATGGAATTTATATCTGAAATTTATCAGACTGATATTATCTCTTTTCGAAGAATGATTACTGTATAAAACTATTCATATAGTGAAGAATATAAAATAATTCAGCCAATTTATGGAATTCTATCAGCCCTTGGTTCTATACATCCAATGATTTTGATCAATGAAATAAAGCCATAGAAGAAATTTTGTACAAATCTGGAGCCATTCTCTCATCATTAACTCAAGAGCATGATAACTTCACTTAACTGTACAAAAGTATGGTGTTGAAAATGTTTTGAATACTGTTAAATCTCAATTGTCACATTTTCACAGGGTTGTGAAAAACTCACACAAATAATTAAAGGCCAGAATATTGATTATTTAATTTAAAAAACTAAACTAAAATAGGCCATTTTTAGTTTAGAACAGATGTAAGAGATACAGAGATACAGATACAAATTTAATACAGAAAAAGCATCCAATGAATGTTGCTGTGGATTTGGAACAGCAAAAAAAAATGCTGGGTTAAATTTTGGACTTTATGGTTCTTATACCAGACAACATTAAGTTATGATATTTTGACTTATATTCTACAGTAGGGGCACAATAGCTCAGCGGTTAAAGATGCTGAACTTGTCAGTTGGAAAGCTGACAGTCTGGGTTCGAGACCCAAGCACTGCATGATGAGATGAGCTCCCATTATTTGCCCCAGCTCTTGCCCACCTAGCAGTTTGAAAGTATGCAAATGCAAGTAGATAAATAGGTACCATTTCAGTGGGAAGGTAATAGTATATAGTTATGCTGGCCACATGACCATGGAAATGTCTTTGGACAATACTGGCTCCCTTGGTTAAAAAATGGAGATATAAGCATGCCCTCCACAGAGTTGGAAATGCCTGGACAGGGGAAATCTTTACCTTCTATAGTATTTTACTCTACCCCAGGGGCTGAGCAATCATTTCTGTCCTCCACCCCCATCCTTTAACAATTCGCTCATTCTTTCCCCATTCCCAGGCCAAGTTTATATTCCTTCACAATATAAGCGTGTTTTTAGGACTCTATGTCAACTTGAAAAATGAAGCTTGTTTTTAATGAAAATGAGAAAATGTATATTGGTTTTGGGATTGGGAAGCCAATGTAGGCCTAAGATCTTCTAGAGAATAGTTTATTTTCTTAAAATAAAGCTGTTTTTATTTGTGTACTTGTATATTCTGTAATCATATAAATTTATTTCTAATCACCCACACAGCAACATTTTCTTTGTTAAATTAAAAGTAGTAGTAAATGTAGAATGAATAAACAAGGTAGAATGAAGCTATCAATTTTAATTGCTCTTAATATCTTATTTTTCTGAGCTTCATTTTATTATGACTATGCATTTGTGCTTAAAACCTCTCTATGTAAAAAATTACACAGAGAGTTTTTACCATTTACTACCATTCACATGTATGCATTTTGTATAACTTTAAAATATTATTTGTCTGATAAATGTAGCCTTTGCAAACAATTCTTTTACAGCATGGATCAAAGGCATCTGGGTTGGAAGGATTCAGGGAAACTAAGATGATGGCTGTGGCCTCTTGCCCAGAAGGTCTTTTTCAGTTACTTATCAAATTAAAGCTATGAGATTAAAATAGGTCAGATAGGGAAATAGGGAAATGTATTTTTGCAAACAAAGGGGATATGATTCTTATTCTGGAAGCATGCACTTTGTCCTCATACTGTACCCCTCTCTTGCAATGTGCACTGGGCCCATTTTATTGTAACACGTTCCACAAAACCTATAGATAACATTCAGTCAAGAAATGTTATAATCCAAATCATATTCAAAAAGTTTTTATAGTTTTTTTTACTAATATAGTTATTTCATATATGCTTTTGCATTTTTATTCAAATATCTTGGTTGCTGAGTTGTTACTGCTTTGGTCAATAACATACCTAGTATGTCCATCATATCATGTAGACCAGACATGTCAAACCTGTGATGTCACGTGATGTCACATGGCATATTGCGACTTTTTCCCCATCGCCGGCAATGGGGTGGGCACAGTTTTGGCATGATGCATCTGACCTGTGGGCTGGCAGTTTGACATGATTAGACTGATACGTGTGTGAATCAGCTTTGTGGCCCAAAAATATATCGTTTTTTTAGTTTTGTTCACATTATAGTCACTACCTTTGGCCCATCCAATCTTCTAAAATATTAAGTGTTTCCATTTATGACTAAGTACTGGATGAAAGTGGCATCTTCTACGTCCGATCTTAGAATCAGAGCTGAGATTGAGAGTATTCTGTTATAGCATAAAGATCCCAAATTGTAGGTGGTATATTGCAAGTGGAAATATCAAAGTTATTTGCAATGGCATTGGTGTTATCAGCCAACACAGCCAAGTCTTCAGATGCAAAAGAGCCAGAAGGATATGACTTAGAATTAATAGTATGTAGTAATGAATTTGGGAGGATTAGAACTTGGCAGCAATACATGCATTGAATAAATGTAAACAGAGAGAAAGTAATATAAGGGAGCAACAACTGACAGATTTTTCTGTTTCGATTCAGTGAAATGCTTTGCTTGGCATTTTGTTCAATTTGGAATTTTACAACTGACTTAGATAGATTTTAGCTTTTTCTGCTCTGGGATGATGTTACGGAAAAGATTTAGTGGTAATGCACACATATTAATTAGTTGTGTAACTACTATCTGCTGGAAGAGCTAGAAAGACACCACACTAATCAGAGTGAATCAATTGCCTTTTCATTATAAATCTGCAGTCTTTGGAACCAATGAAACATTGTCTTGAAATGTGGGCAATCTTAACTGGTTGAATTAAAACCTATCTGGAAATCATGCTTTGACATTGCCTGGTTTTAGTTATTTTGTTTAAAAACATTCTCAAACCTTTATGCCTTCCTTTTCACAATCTGTTCAATCTATCTTTCAGAAATGTGAGATTGACAAAAGGTTCTTAGAATATTACAAGTATTAGTATTATTACAATAGAATATTACAAGTATAAGCATTATAGTATTAACATAAATATCTCATCTACCTGTCAGATATGAAAAATTTAGAGTACTCATGAAATTCTAATTAAACTGACTTATTACTAATCATGCCTATGCACAAGAATCTACTGAACTAACAGTTACTATTATCTTGGCATTAGATAAGGGCCAATGGAATTCAAGAGGGGTTGGACTTGTTATGTTTGTGGCTATGTAGAGACTCTAGGTTTATTCCTCCTTTGATTCCATCCCCAGATTCTGTCACTCATTCTCTTGTACTATGAGGAGTTTTTGTAGTTAAGATACAAAACATGGCTTTTTTTCTCACATTTGTATTCTGCCCTTTTTTAAAGGAATTTCAACCATTAAATTATCTTTGGTGGGATAAATAATTAACAGCCAAGGCTACACAGTAATAGTGAAAGCTAATTTACTTATAATTAAAGCTCAACCCAGAGAGGAAAAAATTGAATAAAAAGCCCAGCTGAATTTTATATAATATAAATTCAGATGCAGAATCTTGTTGCACTGTGTTTTTTGTTGTGTTGTTCATATGCATCTATCCAGAGGTAGAAAAAAGGTTCTGGACAAAAACAATAAAAGCTTTTGTTTTAAGGGGTACCATCAATAAAAACTTCCGAAATGTAAACTTGACTATAAAATTTGATAAACTTTCCTTTAGAACTTTTTATTTCTATGCTTTTCAAAACACCTATCCACCAAATCAGTTAAATGAATATGAACAGTATAGCAATGAAAAAAAATATTATTGCAGCTATGGACCTCAACAAGCTGATATTATCAAAGCAAGATGAAGGCTGATAGGAAGTCAGTTTATGATTATCAGCTTTTCAAATTTATATCCAGAAAAGAGATAATGGAGCATCAAAATATGACTGCTTAGGGTGTCAAAATGATTAGAGTTGGTCTTAATTATAGCATAAAAATGGTTTGGTATCATTTTTTATCATGTTGCCATTATATTGTCTTCATTCATCATGAATCTATGAATGGCAGGCTTGCATCATTCTTAGCTGTTTTGATATTAAAAATGCATTTTTTGCCTTTATTCTGATATGATCCAAAGACAAGGTACATAAAAATGGTTAGCTTTTGTCAACCTTTACCATGGAAGAAAATCAGAGTACTGCTGTGACTTCAAAGAAAGGCAAGTTAGGAATCAACAGTAAAGGAAGGTGGATACATTTCTTCTGACCCAACATTGAATAATGAATAAAGAGCAACTCAATTCAATTGTGGGAAGGTTTTCTGTCTCAGTATATTGTGCTGCAATGCACAGACTAACACTATTGAATATGATATTGTCAAATATGGCTGTCAAGATGGTGGCAGGATTGGAAACCAGGTCGTCTGGGGAACATTGCAAAGAATTGTATATGTATATGTACATTGTATATATGTAGTTTGCAAAAGGGAAGACTGAAGAGAAATAGGAAGCAGTCTTTGGATATATAAAGTGTTGTCAGAGAGAGAAAGGAATAGACTTGCTCTTTATTGCCTGGAGAGAAATGCTAATGAGTTGAAACTATAAAGAAATAGATTCAGGGTAGATGTTAAGAAAAAATTCTGCATAATAATTGATGTTGGTCAGTGGAATAGGTTGCTTCCTAAAAGATAAGTTCCCCATCACTAAAGATCTTCACATGGGCTGGATAACTATCCAATATTTTATATCTGCCCAGAATGCTTCAGTCAATCCTACATCAAGCAGAGGATGGGACTCAATGACTTTTGGGGTCACATTCAGTGACATATTTTTGTAAAAGAATAACCTGCTGAGCAATGAAAATAATTTAGCCAAAAGCTAAAGAATAAAGTTTCCTTTTTTATGAATATTAATAATATAATAGATATGTTATACCTGGGTAACAATGCAGCTATACCTTTAAATTTGTACCGAGAATGCCTTGTGGGTGAATAAATGTGGATTGTTGATTTCCATATTCTCCAGCATCAGAGACAGTACTTAACCATTGCTGCTTTTGTGATTAAAGTTTTTTATGATGTTTTAATAGAAGTTTTATGTACAGTATGTATCTGTTTTATTTAGAAAGTGCAACTCAGTAACATTTACAGATCACAGGCTGAGGTTCAGTAGTAATTTCTGTTGAACAAGCTGAGACTTTTTCTGTTCTTAACTCCTCCTGATTTCTAATTTGATTCACAGGCTGATTATTATAATATGTGTTCAAATATGGCTATGATTATCTCCAATCAGCCAAGGCAAAAGAAAGTTGCATTTTTGTCTAATTAGGACATGAATTTACCAATCTAGATATACATAGTAGTATCTAATCTAACCTAATCTACTAAATCTAATTTTTCTTTCTATTTTGTTAATTTCCAGGTGACAGCTTTTAGCCAAATAATTGTTAATTAATAACCTCCCTTTTTTAAGGGAGAACATTTTTAATTTTTATTTTTTCAGACTAGCAATTTATAATACTTTGACTTTAAAAAACAATCATAGCAAGATTGCCTGTGTAAATGAATTCTTACAGATACCCGGGTGCCTATGAGATTTTTATATTTCAAAGTGGTAATCCAAAACAAAAGGCCAAAACAACAAGAAATATAAACCCAAACTAAATGGGGTAATATTAGGATAGAGCAGGGGTAGGCTGGCTCAGGAATTCTGGGAATTGAAGTCCACGAGTCATAAAAGAGCCAAGGTTGCTACCCCTGGGATAGAGTAATAGGAAGTAATATAAAATTATCTTGAAGCAGGAATCTAATGTAAGAAATCTATGTGTGGAACTTTATCTAAGGAAGAAGTCATCTTGAGTAAAGAAATAAGCCTTAATATTTTTAGGAGAGAGTGTGTATTGATCCTGAAGAGCATGCATTGATACTGAATTTTGAAAGGAGTGACAACTCATACCACATTGTTTTGGACTGGGAAACAATTCTTTAGTTGCATCTCACAACTTGCCTTTGAATCTGGATTTTATAATTTTATTAGTATAATTTCAGCTGTAAAGGAGAACCATTGATAATAAAAGATATGTTTTAGTCAGTATAATGTTCTTAATTTATATACAAACATAATTAAAATAAAGGCATAAAATTTACATGGTACGTTACTCTGTGTAGGTACTTTGTTCTGCATCTAACATGTGCATCAATACTAGAAGAAATTTTAATTGATGTATGCAAGATTATATAACTCCAGGTTTTCATCAGGACAGTGATATACTGGATCGGCGAAAACACTGCTTTGGAGTACAATCTGAAATGGGAGAGGATCTCTACTTCTCTGTGGAATTAGAATGTGATCTCATACTATGGGAAAAGGCCTTCCAATCAGCAACTTTTTTAGAAGTGGAGAGAATACAGGTAAGAAATATGAGATGCTCAATTTAGAATTTTTTTTTAACTGTGTCATTTGATGTGATTGGTGACAGTGCTAGTACAATTGTGATTGGGTTTTGTTTTGTTCTTAAAGCTAGCTTTGGAATATTGTAATCATAAAGCTTCTAATAAGCTGGCCTTCTAATTAGCAAGGTAGTTAAATATGAGCTGGATGAAATGTTTGGTGGATCCACACATCTGTTAGATGGATTTGTATTCAAAGAGTGTCCATTGACAGTTTAATCATCAACTGAAATAAGTAATTAAAAGGGATGCCTTTGGAATTAGCTCTTGGTCTTGTACTTGTCAACATTTTCATTCATGATATATGAGGTAGATGGGAAGCTTATAAAATTTGCAGATTATACAAAACTAGATCAATTAGATATAAAGTTCTAGAAGACAGAACAAATTCAAAGGAACTTCGTAAGTTAGATAAGTGACTGAAAACAGCAGAATTTAATTTAATAGATTAAGAAGTTATTTACACAGGAAAAAATCAAATGCAAAGCTGTACAATAGGAGATATTTAACTTTCTAGTGGCACACAAAAGTTTGTAGGAATCACAAATTGAATAAAAATTTACACTGTGACATGGCTGTTAAAAAGACAAATGCAATTTTAGATTGAGAGCCATTCTAAAATGGTGTAGTGATTAAGTTATCAGGCTAGAAACTAGGAGATTGTTAATTCTAGTCCTGCCTTAGGCACAAAATCAGCTAAACCTTGGGCCAGTCACCTTTTTTCAGACTAGAAAGACAGCAATGGCAAGCTACCTCTTGCAAATTCCTGCCAAGAAAACTACAGGGACTTGTTCAAGCAGTCTCTGGGAATCAGATAAGATGAAACAGAAAGAAAAAAAATAGATTGAAACAATAAAAGAGTCTAAATAATAGAGAATACTCATTCCACACCTAGTTGACTTTAGCTGATCTCGGAAAACTAAGCAGCTAAGCAAATTCCAGGGCTGTCAAATTAGACTGGGCAATTAGGGAAAAAAACAGAAATCAACACAGATTTCATTCGCATTGGTCAGATCCCACCTCATGTACTCAGGACACAGTGCTGGTACATAAAAAGGCAATATAGATTCAAGGGTTGATAAAGTCAATAAGGAGACACTGAGATGTTTACTCTTAAAAAGAGATAATAAAGGAGGCGATGATAATACTTTTCAAATACACTGAAAGTAAAAATACATAGAAGAAGGTACCCTTTTATCTCAGAGTGCCAGATATAGCATAATTATTTATTGCCAGGCAATTAGTAACTTGGAAAAACATTCTTAAATGTAAGAAATCTATAGGGCAAAAATTAAAAGGAAGATGGTGAGTTTCCCCTTCTCTGGTTATATTCAGGCAGAAAGTGAGCATGGCTGTTTGAATTTGGGTTACTGCACTAAGTAAGGAAATTGGGCTTGATGACTTAAATAACCCTTTCAATCTCTAAATTGTTAATGCTGTATTAATGACCTTTGTGTTTAAAAAGATTTAAATCAAATATGTATTAGCTAGTTCTTGTATCCCAAACCTTCAGATGATGAATGACAGAGTCTTGGCTTTTTGGTACTTTCAAACAAACCAAATGACGAGTTGTGCTACTAGCAGAGATGATGTGTTTTGTTCGTTTTATTAGATCTTATTGAGAATGGAAAAATAGACTGTTCAGCAAGGCTTTTTTATTTTTTGGAAACTATTATATGATAGATTTAAATCTCGGAAACTTACTGAAAGCTTACTGAATGACCTTGGACAAGATATTATAAGGATAACTTACCTCACAAGATTGTTCTTCAACACAGTAATTGCTCTGAACTCATAATGTAACAGATAAAACTCAAGACAATAAAAATGAATAAAAACAGCAGACTTCTGGGAAACAAAAGTCACTGAATTGAATTGATTTTAGTGTATGGGGGCAAGTAAACTTAAAGAGCCCGTTTTTTAAATGGAAAGTAAAAAAGCCAAGTGGGGCTCACACAAACCTCTTTTAAAAGAAAACAAAAAAAAAATCTTTTTATTACAGAATATTGCCCTCTTCTTTACCCAAACTTTTGAGAAATATAGCATATGCTCTAAAGATAGAGGATGTATTTGTGTAGTCAACACTCTACGTAAGAGTATTGTCAAGTCACATCTGGAAACATCATTAAAATTTTGCCCAACCTGATCAATATATTCCATAGACAGTTTTGTTTAATATGCATTCAAACAATATTATGTCATTTATGCTCACCTACATTAGATGATTATTTTATGGTAAGTGTGTTTAATTTTGGCTATATATGTGGATTTGCTTTTCTTGTTTTGAGCAGTGGGGAGGGGTATGGCTCCCACTGATCTGATTCTTCTTGGTAAACTATGCATCTGGCAGATCATTAAAGCCATAAATAACCATGAGTAACTGAAGGATGGTTTCCATGGATACAATCCTACTGGGTTACATAAACAGAATGAAGAAGAGAATTGTTTGATTAGTAAAAAAAATATTACCTTTTTTTCTCTCCACATTACAATTTGCAAGTGGTGGTGCAAAAAACTGTGTGCTTGTGTGTGTGAGTGAATGTGAGTGTAAATAAATAAATAAATGAAGAATCTTAGACAAAGTGCAAGGGAAGAATATTTTTGTATGAATTCAGACATAAATAGCTATAATAGTTCTGTGCTTCTCAAATATGAAAAAATATTTCAACATTTTTCTAGCTAAATCATTATAGTTTGATTTATAGCAAAAAGGCAATGAAACCATCAAATCAAATTGTTATTATGGTCAAAGACCATCATATAATGAAACCAATACAGTTCATAGTATAGCATTTTTAAAATAATATATCATTCTAATCCATAATGCATTCTTGTTACGACTCCCTATTTTGCATTCTTACTAAGAATGTTTGAAAAACTTGTTTTCATTTTCCCTGTATTTCTTTACACACATTTAATATTTAAATTACCTGAATAACAATTACATGCATTTCTTTTAATTGACATTGATTGCTTTTTAATAGTTTTTCTACATTTTATTTTCAGAAAAGAGGTCCATTCAGCATTATAGTTTATTATTTCTAAATTTTCACATTTCTTACTAAACAATTCAAACTGCAAATCTTGAGAATCAAAAATCATGCTTCAGGCTCTGCTCTTCAAGTGGAACAATTCACAGACTCAGTTTTAAGGTTCTATATTTTGCTAATGAGTACGCCAAAAATAGGTTACCTCTTATACAGAAAATCACTTTGCTGATTTTTTTTATGGTTTTGCAGTGTATGAACTAGTAATTAAAAGCAAAACATATTCATCCTGTAAGGCAGAAGGTATATTGTAAATTAATTAATTAATTAATTAATTTTTTTAGTCCTATCTTAAAACCAAACTCTTTGTACAGCCCAGGAACAAAAGCAATATATACAGCTAAAACAAAAACTATAGAACCCAAAACAGAAAAACCTGGTGCTGCAACTACACTTCACTGATGGAGCCAATTACATTCTCACCCTTCCCTGCTTATTTAGAAGGCATGGGGAAAGAGAAAGTTGTCTCTGGAAGGTTAAAAGGGCGGAGATCTGTTCCATAGATCAGGGACTACAAAAGGCTCACCTCTGAGGACCTAAAAGGTGGCAGTGTTTAAGAGAAGGGACCTATCTACTCTATCCATTCTGGTGGGATGGGCAAATACTTTCAGGAGAGATGGTCCATCAAATAATCTGGCCCCACGCAATATAAGGGCTTAAAGTGGGTAGCCATTACCTTGAATTGCACTCTGATATTGAAAAGACCTCCAGTATTATGTACTGTCTTGGCAGCATTCTTATTTTAATTTTGCAAAAGATTAATTAACATAAGCAGAGGAACTGTAGTTGAAATATAGCCTAAAGTTAAAAGCCATAAAATAAGATGCTGAAAACTGACCTTTCACCATTTGAGCTATAATGTACATTAATTGTTTTCCACCAATTTGTAATAATTGCTCAAAGCCATCATAATATTTAACTTCTCAATGTTTCATGGTAGGAATTGTACTTGGCACTGACAGTCTTTTAGGTGAAAACATACTGACAGAAATACTGTATTGCTTAATTGAGGTAGGTAGCCAGTATGTTTAGAAAAGAACTTTCTGATTTACTAAGGATAGGATAGAAGAAGCATCACCTTCATTACATAATTTAGCTGAGAATATAAATGTATCACCTATAGAAAATCTCCAAGGAAAAAGGTATTTGTCAAATTAAAAAAGAATTCTGGGAATATAAAAATACAACTATTTTGACTAAAAACAACTTAAATTCCTTTTCTGGCATCTGTGGCATTTAAATCAGGATTAGGAGGAGCCATAAAATTGAGAATTCAAGAGATAAATCCATTGTCTGTTTCTTAGATAAGCAAACTTTTGAAAATAATGGTTGCAAAGTGAAGATATTCCTGATACTAAATGTATTACTTGGTTATGTAATTTACCAGAGGAAAACACATATTGAAAAAGTACATGCCAAGAAAATATTTTATAATTTGAGAAAGACTATAGGGTTGTCTCAGATTATCTATTTCTTCTATAAATATTTGCCAAACTAAGACATAAATCAATAAGTAATCAATTTGATTAGGAAGAATAAAAGAGAATTTATGTGGAAGCAATTTCAACTCCCTGAGAAGGAAGCTTCAGTTTTTCTTCCTAAGCAATTTATTATGTTTTATATAAACTTGATTAGCAATTACTGTAAGCTCAGTGTAGAAATGTGGTAATAATTTTTTATTATTATTATTTTTTCAAATTTTATTTATAATACAGTTAAAAACAAACAAACATTGGATTTAATGTGACATTCCAGTATATACATTCTTATCAGATTATTCCACTTTTTACAATCAATTCTTCATCTCTACATATACATCTAAGTTTTATATACAATACTTATTCTAAAATAACATATATTTCTATCTTAACATTCATCTTTAATCCCAACCGTCCTCTTCAAATTCCTCCAGTGGTAAAATTTATCCCAGGTTTCATAATAAACTGATCCGCATTTGTCTTTTAATATCATTGTGAGCCTGTCCATTTCCGCACATGCTAATATTTTATGTATAAACTCTTCTTCTGTGGGAATTTCCTTGCTCTTCCATTTTTGCACAAAAGCAAGCCTAGCTGAAGTCAGGATGTGTAGCAGCAGGTAGATTGTTCCCTTGTCATATTTTTCTGTTGTTATTCCCAACAAGAAGAGCTCAGGTTTTAACTCTAAGTCCAATGTTAATATATCCCTCAACCAGTTTCGTATCCTGTTCCAATACTCACGAGTCTTTGGGCATTCCCACCACATATGGTAATATGATCCTATTGCTGTTTTACATTTCCAGCATAGGGGTGAGATGTTTGAACATCTTGCGGGTGGGAAATGTCATCTATAAATGTGGTAGTAATTTGATGTTGTGAATGCTATTCCTTGTAAATCTATAATCTTTTTGATATTAGTTTAGAATGTTCTAAGTTATCTTTTAGTAAAAGGCATATGTGCAAGACAAAGTGCTTTCTTATACCCAATTCACTTCCAGGACTTTCTTAAAAAGCCCAGTACTCAGAAATAAATTATTACAAAAAAGCAGGACTGCAAACAACAAGGCTTCACTTTTGGAAATACACAAGGGCCTGGAATGAAAAAGTGAGACATACTTTTTTTAAAAAAATCCAAACCCTATCGGCACTATTCATAGAGTACTGAACTGTACACAGTCCTTAGCATCTGAGTTAAATCCTTTTCTTTATCTTACTCAGCAGTGCATAGAGTGTATGCATCATGGAAGATTCTTTTCAAGCAATTATTGTGATGTTAGCTGGGAAATAATCCCATCCTATGCATCAGTCAAGAGAGTTGTTATAAAAAGTGAATGACATTCTCTTCATTCCTCTCAAACATCTTTCTTGACTCAGAAGATAAGCATGATTGGAAAGTAAAAAATAAGACAAAACAACAAAAATTACAGAATACAATAATGTAAAATACTTTGATATTGTTGTCAAAAAAACCTGTATGACACATTCTATAGAATGAGTAGCTTATTATTGGGGAGAGGGCACAGGATTATCTTCCTGGCCATAGTAAGGAATGTTATGAATGAAGGCGAAGGATAATGTTGCAGAATCCAATCTGGATCAGTCACCAGGACCAGAGTTTTAGTCTTCCGAGTTTTCAGACTCGTGCTGGAGTCCATCCCCAGGGAGCTTCACTCTACCAGAATGAGTGTAAGAAATACCCTGAGGATGGGACTCCAGCACGAGTCTGAAAGCTCGGAAGACTAAACTTCTGGTCCTGGTGACTGATCCAGATTGGATCTTGCAGGAATGTTCATGCTATCCGGCCCTCAGATTTGCTCAGGGTTGCTTGGGATAAAATAGCGGACTAAAGATGTAATCATGTTTTGCAAAGCCAATGATTACAGATAAGAACAAGTAGCCAAAAAGGAGATGGACTCCTTCACCTTTCTAGAGAAAGAAATGAGATTGCTCCATATGGCTGCAAGCATTTTATTGGACTCATTTGTAGAATGTATATTCAAATGTTCAGATTTTCCTTTTTAGTTATAATTTTACAAATCAAATATAGCCAGTAAAATGCCATTTAATATGTTGCATTGTTTTGATTTTTTTTCCAGTGTAAAACATATGCCTGTGTTTTGGAGAGTCATCTTATGGGGCTTACCATAGACTTTGGCATGGGCTTTGTATGCTTTGATGCTGCAACAAAGGTAAGGACAAGAGAATTGTATCCAATTCCAAGAATCACATGGTGGAGTTATTTCAGTGATTAATGAATGAAAATAAATGAGAAAATGGTGACTAGCCAATATGTGATGCTAGGATAATTTGTTACTTGAAGAAGATTATTACCAAAAGGTATCAAGGTGAAAAATGTTGGTGAAAATACTTGTTCTGGTGAGAGATATGTTGAGGAGAAAAAAGTTCAAGAAATTGCACCACAAAAAAGATTATAATATGCAGATATTTTTTTAAAAAAACAAAAAAAAAATAATAGAATTGTGGAATTATGTTTCTGTAACCTCAATATCTAACTTGTTCTAGTAAAAATAGGCCTTCAGGGACTTCCAGTTTTGGGTTGTAGCGACACGGCTGAGGGATTGCAGAGCTTCGCACCCCATGGCTGGTTTCTCCCTGCCTGGGGACCCTAAATGGGTCTAAAGTCGCCCCGGAGAGCCGATGAAGAAGGAGGGCCCCCCATCGATCATGGAAAGATGGTGGTTGATCCCTTTGATCCAGGGGAAGCCCTCCAACCTGACAAGAAAAAGGCTAGCTGCACTCCAGTAACTAGCCCAAGCTACTGGCATCCGAAGTCCAAAAGCACTAACTAAGAATAACTGTAAATAGCATGTTGGAGCTGGATAAGAAAACTGATCTTCTCTTCTCTATTTTGAAACTGATTTCCTGGAAAAGATACCCAAGAAGCAAAATTTATCCCTTTGATCCTCAGTGATTCTTAGCTAAACAGAGAATAGCTGGGAATAGAGGAAAGAAAATACACTGGGCTATCTATTGAAGAATGAGAAATAAAATTATTATGAAAATTGCTGATCTTCTTGGATTATAAACACTTAGTGAGTTATGATATTCAAGTTTAAGAATCGTCTGCAGAGAAAGAAAAACTTTGACTTTTTGGCTATTTTTCTAGGAGGGAAATTACTGGATTGTTTTTAAGTGGTTGAACATTTTGGACTATTTATAAAGATAAGAGACATATAAGACTATAGTGTTTGGAATTTAAGACTGGCTAGTTTGATGAAAATGGAAGTTGCATATATAACTAAAAGTGGTAAGAAACCACACACAATATTCTTTTCCAAAATTCCCAGTTTGGAACATCAGAGATCTGCAGGAGTAATACTTCAAGACAAGACAAATATTTTCCAGGAGGAAATGTATGCTATGTTGCAACTAATTCAAATGACAATTGATTCAAATTATAATAAGATTAAAAATAATTTTGGTGATATAAATGAGCACATTCTTGACCTAAGCTCATATTCAAAAAATTCTCAGAAAATGGTGACAAAGAATGAACAAATAAATCAGATAATAGAACAAAAACTAGAGGAAAGTGACCCAAAGATGGAGACTACAAATGAAGAAAATTACAGCTTAACATAGCAAAGAAAAATCTGCAAGATTTTGCTATAACATTGGAAATGGAAAAGACATTTTATCTCTCAGAACTTCAAAACAAACCTGAAGATAAGAAAGAAGATTTGATAAAATGGACAATAGACCTGTCAGGAAAATTACCAGGGTTTGGGAGACAAAAAATGAAAAGAGAAATCAAGGGAGAAGCTTCTTAATGAATATAAATGGGCAAAACTCCCACTCAAAAGCACCTTACTCAATTTTTCTTTCCCATTCTTAACAACACTTATAAAAATACAGGAAGAATCCCATGGCTAGCTGAATATACTGACTTGGAAAGCTGCAAGGCAAAAGAAGAAAACGAGAGGTAGACTTGACCTATCAGATGGAGTACTATTTGACTAAACACTTGTTTGAATATGGTTAAAAGAATAGTTAAATTTTGGAGATGAATTTCTATAGTAAGAGAGATATGATTCATAAGTAGTATAGTATTTCTTATGATATGGGAAATGTAAAAATAATGGAATGGTTTAAATGAACAAAATGTTTTGGATATTCAAATGTAATTAACTTGGAGAAAATTATAACTGATAAGAAATATTCTGAATACTGAAGAGAAACTAAGCTTAAATAAGAACAGGCAAGAGCCAGACTCAAGAGAGATGACTTGACATACCAAATGGAATATTATATGACTAAACATTTGTCTGAATATAGTTAAAAGAGTAATCAAATTTTGGTTATGAAAGGGTTTTCTAGTAAGAGAGATATGGTTTATAAGTAGTGTAGTTTCTTTCTCTTTCTATGATATGGGAAATGTAAAAAATATTGGGATGATTTAAACGTATGAAATATTTTGGATATTTAAATGTAATCAATTTTGAGAAAACTATAATTGGCAAGAAATGTTTTGAATACTGAGGAGAAACTAAACTTAAATAAGAAACATAGTGGGAGTTGCAAATGCAACTGTAAAATAAGCTGATTAGAAAAGATATCACATACTGATGTTATTGTTAAATACTAGAAAAATGTTTATATTCAACTTCATATATATTGATAGTATTAAGAACTATATTTGCTCAATGTTGGTAAAAGGAGAATACTATTGGAAGAAGAGAAGACCAAGGAAAGGTATTTCTAGTTAGCATGTTGATTATGAAAGCATAGAAATTAACTATTATTTATTGTTGTTAAATATTATGAACCCAGACAACACGTTGTTTACTAAGCACTAAAGATTGTTATTCTAAAAAATCAATAAAATATAATAAAAAATAGGCCGTCTGAGACTATGACCTATAGACTTTTTTCATGTCTGAATTTTTAAAAAAGAACCAAAGCCTACTGTCAATACTGGATGTTCTTCTGCCATAGCAGAATATTTGAATAAGTAGAAAACAAGAGATAAAATTCAAAAAGTGAACCCAGCTAAAAGTATTTGCTTTGGGCACAAGTACTATAAAGTATCTGACGCACACATCTACTCTTCTCTGGTCTTCTCTGCATTTTTTCTTGACTACTGACTATATTCCTAAGCCTCCTGCCACATTCTCAGTAATCAATTGCAATAAATCCTGGTAATATAATCCTCCTGTGCTGAAAGAACAGATACTGCCTCCTAATCAGAGTACTGGTGTCCCTAAGATGAACTTAAGAGGAAAAACATAGAAGATTGCATTCATACTGAATCACCAGGAGTCTAAGGTGGACCAGTTTCGGTTTACAATTTGGTCAAACTAAATTGAGTTACATTTCTCATCTTGCTGATTATTTCAGTTTACCCAGATCAGTTGCAAATCTATCATACAATCATGTTTACTCTTTGCTATAAAATTGTAATACAGCAATGGGATGAAAACTATTAGCATGCAAAGCTAATATTTTTAATTTTCAGTGTTCTACTTACAAACAGGTTACATTCCAAGAGGATATTTGTAAGTCCATTTTCTTCATAAGTCCAACCAACATTTGTTTTTTAAAAAAGCAGCGCCTCAGCTTCTTCTCATCCCTTACTCTTAGATGATGATCTAGGCTGATGTTCTCTCAGCAATGGGAGAGTCTGGCTTCAAGTCTGGAAGACCTCTCTAGCATTGATCCACTGCAGCTTTGGCCACTAGCACTAGAGTGGACTAGCCATCCCACAGGCCATTGGAACTTTTACTAAGGGTTGCCAGCAAGACGATAAGGTGCCACCACCCAACACAACTCATAGGCAGAGGGGTGAGGTGCATGTTGGTCAATTTTGACATATGAGCAATGGTAGGCAGCCCCACAGTAGTCTAGTCTCCATAGAGATAAGTGGGGGTGAACATGGTGGGGGCTTCCCAATAGCACGAGACCCATGGCTCCAGTCCTGTTGGCCATTCTGCCCCATTTCCCCACTATGAGCCTTTCTGGGGTGTTCAGGGTAAATGTGGCTTTGGATCATCCTTCTGGATAGTCTTAGGTAGTGTGACTCAACTTTTTTTCATCTCCATCCAATTAATCACAGACTCCACAGGCTGACTCTCCCAGGTTACTGTTCATACACAGCACAATTCTTCTTTCCTTTGGCAACCCTCTTCCTTCCCAAGGAGCTTGGACCATCTTTCAGGTGGGTCTGTACCACCTCCACTCTCTTCAGGTATAAGACACAGTCATCCTTGAAGAGAGACTTGTGCAATTGTGCTGCCAAGTGTATATGTGCAGTGCCCATCCTCAGGGAACTTCTTTCTCACAAAATGTCACATTCTGGTAAGAGAAAAGTTTCCCTGAGGATGGGTTCCAGCATGAGTCCAAAAGCTAAGAAGACTAAATTTCTGGTCCCAGTGATTGACCCAAATTGGATCCTGCATCTTATATTTTGTGTCTCATTTGTGCTTCTTTCCTATAAAATGAAAACCAATAACCACCTAGAAAAGCTGTTTTCTTTTATATAATCCAGCTGATATGAAACTGCATGAACAGAGAATATTAATGTAATTTTGGGTTCATAATTATATCTTTGTAGCAGAGAAAACTTAACACAACTGCATTAATCAAAATACCCCATTGGCACAACGTATTGATTAAAGAGAAATACCAGCGGCCCTAACAGACAGTAATCATTAGATTCAAACTCAGTCCTTGAAATACTTTTTCTAGCCTTGTGGCAACATACTTTGCTTATTCACCTGAAGCAAGTAATTTGTTTTGACAAGTCCACAACATACCCTCCACTCTTGCATTACCATGATTACTGCAAGCTTGATCAGTTCTTTTCTGCTGATTTTGCCTCTCCAGAAACATGCTTCGGGTCTTGTCTGGCAATACTACTAATTCTTCCAAAGTACTTACCTGACCTGAACACTAAATTTAGTTTGGAACTATCCATGGGGCACACTCTATTCCATTTCAACAGATTGTGTGTATTCGTGTCAGATTAAGTTTGTTTAGAGCTGAGTTTTAAGAATTTCACTTTCCATACTGAAACTGCATATTTGGTAAGTGCTTCTGTCAAATCACTCAGCAAAGTATTTTTCACTCAAGTTGTTGAACATTTTTCTAGAGGAATAAAGCTCAAAACATTTCAATTCTTCTTTCCCAGGGGACAATGGACCACTTGAAACAACGCCAGAAATAGGCCTAA